AGATATATATTTTAATTATATAAAACATACAAGAATATAAAAATAGTTAAATTTATATGAATATTTGTTATTGTTTCATTTAATTTATTATATATATATATATATATATATATTCACTAATATATACCTATATAAAATTTAAATTAATTAAAATTATAATAATATAAAAAACATATCAATTCAACACCTTGTAAGGCATGAGTGATTTACGTCAGTTTACTCATAATAATATTGCCTCTAGACTAATTAATAACTTTCCATCAACTTCTTAAGTAAAAATTAACAATATTTTTGTTGATTTAAAATATATGTTTTTATAATATTAATCGACAAGTAAATTAACATGATTGAGGTAATTAGAAATATTGGTACTTATATTCAATCCTGATGATCTTTATAATTTTTTCTATCTTAAAAAAAAAATCGACAAGTAAATTAGATTAGTTTTATTAACTTAAAAATTATATTTAAATATTATAATATTTTGTACATACTTATGATTAATTTATTTTAGGTTAAATTATATTTTTATCATTTATCTTATTTGTTAAATTTATTTTAATCTTTTATTTTTTAAAATGTTTATTATGATATTTTGTCTCTTAAATTTAGATTAATTTGATATTTTTGAAATGATGGTTATTTTCAATTTTGAAACATGATTTTAGATTTTTTTTATTGATTTAAAACTTGAAATTCATCTCATTATATTCACTTATACGAAATATATTAAATGCAACTGAGGTTCAAATAAAAAAGTATTACAGGATGATGAAAATTGCATAAAAACAATTCAAAAAGACAATTCAAATTTTTAAAAGTATAATTTCATACTATTTTTTTTGATTTTTTATTAAACATATTTTTACATGATTTTTATTATGTTATTAACTCTTATAAATTCAGAAATCGATTAAATTTTATAGTTTTATATAATTGAATATATTATTACAAGTTTCATGTTTTAAATCAATTAAAAACTGATTCAAAATTGAGTTACAAAATTAAAAATTATTATTATTTTGAAAAAGATTAAATTATTTCAAATAAAAAAGATAAAAGATCAAAATAAATATTTTAATAGATAAATAACTAAAATAAATCTAATAAATAAGATAAAAGATAAAAATATAATTTAACCTTTATTTTATTATATGTAAAATTTTTAAAAATTATTACTAATAAGAATTTGGTTTAATTACAATTTGATTAATAAATTATAAATTAATAATTTATTAATTAAATGATTCATGTAATTTTAAAAACATTAATCTTTCGGGCATGTATTGGTAATTAGAGAAATTAAACTCACCTCACTGTTAATGAACACTTGACTCAGTGTAAAGATCAGTATGACTAACGGAAAGAGAAACTCCTAAAAGAATTGAGTGCGGCTGAGAAGACGGACGGCTAAGATAAGATCGTTCAATAGTATATAGTAGTTAAGTATTCGAGCTTGATTAATCTTTTTCGTGCTTTTTGGGGTTTTATTTCTTGTGTTTGCGTTGCTCGGAAAAGGCTTTCCTTACAGGTTAGAAAACCCAATTCTACTTGTGTGTTCTGGATATTTTGTTATCTTTCTTTTTCTTTGGTGGTGGAGCATGGTTTTTATAATTCAATTTTGTTTTAACATTCAATATTTCATAATTTACCTAGACTATAAGCATCTTAATTGGTATCCCTTAGTCGTTCTACTTGGTGGAATGAAAGGGTTTGTTTGTGTTTGTTCTTTCTAACTATATAAACCCAACATCATATTTTTCTTATGTGTTTGATTGAAAGGAAGAGGGGAGAATACTTTAAATTTTTCCTCCCATTTTTTGTCCCTCTTTTTATATGGGAAGACTTGAAGAGAAGAGAAGGTAATTTCTAATTTTCTGGACTGTACTGAATAAATTCTCTAAAATCTTAATTCTCATCCCTTTCTAACATTTATTAGGATAAGACAGTTCCCCTCCTCCCTTTATCAACTAAACGAAGGGATCTTCCTTCGCCTTCTCTTACACCAAGCAGGAGGACCTTCCCTTTCCCAACACCCCATTAAAATTCTTATAGTCCCCTCCACCCTGTTCTTTTTGAGCCAAACACTGTTCTTGGTTTGTTTCAGTTACCTGAATTTATGATGGGAGGAAGTTCTATTGATGATGATTGGGATTTAACTTCCTCGTCTAATGAGGTTCGGACTGTGGTCTTAGTTGGACGTACTGGCAATGGTAAGAGTGCTACAGGCAATACTATTCTTGGAAGGAAGGTCTTCAAGTCAAAGGCTAGCTCCCATGCTGTAACCACTTCATGTGAAATGCAGACAACAGAACTATATGAGGGACAAATTATTAATGTTATTGACACCCCAGGTAAAGACATGGTAACATATTAAGAACTGTGAGATTGTTTAACTATTTTATAGTTTCTTGGAATTCTTTTGTAACATTCATTTAATCTACAAAGTTTTACAGGATTATTTGATTTTTCTGCTGGATCTGAGTTTGTTGGAAAGGAAATTGTCAAATGCATTGATTTGGCCAAGGATGGGATCCATGCTGTCCTTGTTGTGTTGTCTGTTAGAACACGCTTTACTGAGGAGGAAGAAAGTGCTCTACGGAGTTTGCAGAAATTATTTGGAAGCAAAATTGTTGATTACATGATTGTGGTCTTCACTGGAGGAGACGAATTGGAGGACAATGACGAGACACTTGAGGATTATTTAGGCCGTGGATGTCCAAAGCCTTTAAAGGTTTCCATGAGCATTATATTCTAGATTAACTACTATTCTTTTCTTTTCTTCTATGCATTTCATTTTTAACCTTCTGTAAGGCTGCTGGGTTAGTTTTCTGGTTTAGTTGAAGGATGGGTTCACAAAAGCTGTGGTAAATTCATTTGGTCATTTATCTGTTTGTGGAAATTTTAAATATACAAATTGTTAGTTTGGAACTTCTTTTTCTAGTGTCACAAATCATTGTTTGGATAAGCTTTATAAAATGCACTTTTATGACATAGCTTTTTTTAGAGTTTTTTTTTTCTTTTTTTCCACAAGCTTCTTTTTTTTAACTTCTGAGTAAACTAATAGAACTGGTTTTATTTTAGGCTTTTACCTTTTTTTTTTCTTTCCCTAAAACCT